AGAAGAAAAGAAGAAAAGAGAAGAAAAGACAATGTAGGAAAATATAATAAAGGGAAAATCATGTCATGGATTGAAATCAGCCGGGTGCACGGACAATCACCTGAGACAAGGGGCATTTACATTTGCTTACACGTGGGACCCATTTCTCCCGAGTCCATCATATGACCTTAGGTGTTGTCAGTCTGATAGATCTGCCAGATCCGTCAAACTGACCACGTCTGGAACAACAGCAGATAAGAGACACGTCACAGCAGTCAGGTGACACCTCTGATGAAGGAGAAAGTTTTATTGCTGAAACATGTCAGGTAAATAAGCTATTTAACTTTTTACAATGTTTGTTCAGGCTCACTTGGGCCATGTCTCAGTTTGCTTTCCTTGCTTCCTCTCCTCAATTATCCATTTTTCAGCTGTCAATCAAATGCCCCATTTCTAGTGGTGTCCCAAAGCTCAGAGGATACAAAGGAAGGACACCACAGAGTAAACATGAGCAAGGGTCCAGGAGACAGACATTAGATAAAATAATTAAACGTTATTTGTTTCACTGTGAGGAGTTTATATTGTTGCTGCTGTACAATTACAGCAGCAAAGCATGTTTGACATGTTACATAATCCTGAATTTGATATTAAAACTATAAAAAAGCAACGTTGCGCCAGAATAATAATATAAAATATTTATTAGTATAGTCCTCATTGTAGTTTTATTTTGGTCAGAACCAGCACCTGAGGAAAGACTGTCCCATTCACCCTCAGCTCTAGTCTCCTCTTGTCTATCTCTGCTCCTCTCTCCTTCCTGTGTTTCCTCTGTGGCCTCACCCATTTCCTGCAGAATAAAAGAGATGAATCAAGGAAAGGAAGCAAAGAAAGAAAGAGAAATGAGACGCTACCCTGTGCTCTCTGGTCATCGTCTGTCAGGCCAAAGCTGGCACACTATCAGACAGCAGTAATGTATGTAACATCTAGTGGTGAAGTGTGAGAATACAACAGGGGTGTGTCTGCCAGTCTAATTATGGATGGTTTATTAAGACTCTTAACATTAATTAACTAATACTATTTTACATGTACTGCTTATCTCTACAATTTGTATCAATCTTGTCATAGTTCTGAACCTGTTAGAAATCCACGTGTGATGAATTTGACACTTTTTTTTTGTCTGTTACACTGACGAGAGGCAAAACTCTCCATCTTTTTACTTGTTTATGCAATGTCACGACACTTTGTACAATCATTTTTTTTCACTTTCCAGGAATCCAATAAAGTTGAAATGCAAAGTAAATTTCCACCAAGGGACCCGTGAAGAGATTTAACCCAGATGAGTCTATAATTGCCATGCGTGCTTCCTGTTTCCCTTTTAGCTCTAATGCTGGAGGACATATGCTCAAAAGAAGACACAAAGCCACTATTACAGCCAGAGCTATCCAGAAATCACTATTACGCACTGGGGTTAGTCATCTATGACACAGCCAAGAGGGCCTGTCTGTCGCTGTCCATGGTACTACGTAGAATTTTTGTTTAATTGCTCCAATAATACTAAATGTGTCTGTTATTCTGATGGGATCTTATCAAAGACATACCTGCATGTGGTCCAAAATAAAATTTTAAATTATTTCATGCTCTGTGCATTTCCCATTCTTGAAATCATTCTGTAATGTGAGAATGAGTACTTTTAAAGGTGCATTGTGCAACTTTTCTGGTAGAAGGGTCTGTCAGTTGCTTTTCTCCATGGAGATGTTATTGTATTGTGTGGAATGTTTCACAGTATGGCATTAAATATTTTCTATCTTCTTGGAGACCAATCCAGAACCAGTTACAGGTCAGATCTGTGGAGAAGCAACCCCACTCACAGTCAGAATGTCTGTTTTTGTAGGTATTTTTGAGCTATAAAGCCACTGTAAATAAATAAATGTAAGGTTGATCTGTTTAATGTCATACTGTGGAATATTTCAGGCAGGGTAATAACATATCCATAGAAACAAGCAGGTGACAGAACCTCAACCAAACAGTTATGTAATAATAATACTAAATAATAATGCATCAGTTTTCTATAGCGCTTTTCTGGGCATTCAAAGATGCTACATAAGTTTAAGTTGAAAAAATTACAGAAAAAATTGTCATATGAACTGAGAGCCTGAGCAAAATATGTTGAGGTATTACTGCTATTTTTACCATAGCAGGCCTCCTATGCCCAGGAGCATATTTTACAGTGTAATTGTGAAATCATATTTGTGCTGCTAACGCAACCGCAGAAATTACCTTCACCCAAAGATTGGCCACAAGATACTGCATAATAGAGGAAGCTTGATGTTGGTTTGATTTAATTATCACGGTGGACACTTGAATGCCCTGTTGACATATTATTGTCTGTTTTCCACATAATAGATATCATGCCTTTCTCCATGTGTCTTCATGAGGCTTTCATACAGAATAATAACATTTCCATTAGAATAGGGCCCAGGACTCATTAGTCGTGATAATGGGGCTGAAAAGGAGCTATCGATAATGGACCTGACATTTTGGTCATCTCTCAAACTCATTTGCATCTCGAAACCTTGTTGTTGGTTTGCATTTGAAATTAACTGAACAAAGCGGCTTAAGTAAATGGCTAGTCCACTTGGAGTTTGAGTCTTCAGTAAGAGATAAGAGTAAGAGGCTCAATATGGCCAATGTTATGTCACTGCATCATGCCGAATATCATTATGCTACAATACATCATCTGTATAATGGTTTCATATGTCTAGGATCAATTAAAGTGCCTATATTATGCTATTTTCTGATCTATGTTTTCCTCATCACAAACATACTGTATCTGGAGTTGTGTTTTGTTTCATTCACACATGTTTAACACACAAACCCTGCATATTTAGGCTGAGTTCTTCTATCAAATGGAATATACGCTGTTCCACATTGTGATGTCATGTGGTAATACAGGAAATCTCCATTATGTTTTTAAACTCCCTACACCTTCACTAGAATCATTTGGATAATTACTGGCTTGCCAATCTCTACTGAACTAAAGGTAAAAGGGAGCTGTTAACTTGAAAACTACTACTATATGATATCACAAGGTGGAACAGAGCATTCTGAGCTTTGGAGATGTGGACAGACTAACAATAAAGGTTTACTAAACATGTGAATGAAACAAAACACAACTCCAGGTATGTATGGATGAGGAAACAACATTCTAACATAGCTTAAAGCTCACAAAAATCTATTTTGTGTAATATGGGACCTTCAAATATTGTTTATAGCTAAAAGAAGAAACTGCAATATATCCTGGGAAAAAGTGTAAAGCATTCATAACACCTTTAGACTGCCCGATCATGTCTGATTTCGGAAGCTAAGCAAGGTGTGGCTTGGTTAGTACCGGGACGGGAGTCTGTTTGACATATTGTTGTTGTGTCCTTAAGGCAGATACTTCACCCACCTTACCTTGAATGTCGTATGTGCATAAGTAATGGTGGTTCAAGAGGCCGAGGGTCCAAAAACACAATATAAAGTCAATGCATTATTATTATTACAGTATCTGCTTTACCTAGTAATGAAAACCTGCATCTAATGACTTCAGTATTCAAAGAAAACAACAGTGTCATGAGTTCTTACTGTACAACTGTGACAGAAGCCACAGGGGTCCTGGGTTTAGATCACCCATTCTCTCTCTTCTTCATTTTCTCTGTCATTTTGTGCAAAGGCTTTTTCATCAGCTGCTGTACAGGTACATATTCATCATGTTCACTGGGGAAAAAAACATTTAACTACAAAATATTACTGTGAACATGATGCAAAAGCACAATACTTAGATTCCATTTAGAAAGAATGGCACACTTGTAATTCTACAGAACAGCAAAAGTGATATATTGATTTTATATATATATATATATATATATATATATATATATATATATATATAATAATATTCAGTCTCTTTCTTTAAAATATGCACTACACATAAGTCACAAAGTGGTCAGTAGTTGAATCAAAGGAAAGGTGACCCAGGTGAGCCAGGAATTTTAGTGTGCATAAATGAAGAGAAGACAAATTGCAGGTCAAGGCTTTTTCATTCGCTGGGTAGTTTCAGACTGAGCAGAAGCTTTTCAAACGTGACTTTTTTTTTTTCCAGGAGTTGCATCTCTGATTCTTTGTTCCTCAACAAAAACATACAGAATCTATTTTATGCTCATTGATTCTGTATGGTTTTGTTAAGATACAAAGAGTCAAAGCTGCAGAGAGATGAGGTGGTGCAAACAAAGAGAGTCCACATATGAACTGGATTTGTTGAAAACAGCAAAAAACATTCCTTACTATCACAGTAATGTCACATAACTGAATCTACACAAATAGTGTAGGAAAAAAATAGATTTGTGTGATATTTATAAGTGTGCCTTTACCAATACCAGCAGGTCTAGTAGGACAGTGATTCTGGTGGTTTTAGTGACACAGACTATCACTAAATGAACACTGGAGCCCTGAGAGTGTTGAAGGTCATATTATTAAATCTATGAAACCAATTACCAATGTGCACAGTACCACAAGCATCTTCTATTAGAATAGAGCACATGCAATAACTTGATATACAGTGTATCCCTGACGGAGGCCACAGAGCAATAATAACAAAGGTAACAGTGGGGTTTGGGGGAGGTTATTATTAGACCTGTTGTAAGAAAACACATTGTGATGGTGCGAGGCACTATGAGACATAATATATGAATTATATTGGCTCTAAATAATTATTTTTGAGCAGATGGTCTCAGTGGACTCAACCTTTTGAATAGTCACTGATAGGTGGCATCTCATTTGTAAGAAACTGGGGAAATAGTGCAATGGATTAATAGCTATTGTGCTTCAAAGTTGTGCATCTTTATTGCCATCTAGTGGACGATTCTATTATTTACCTATGTAATTCTGTGTACAGTGTACACTTTGGACAGTGAATGGCCTGTTTTAAATGTGCTCTATAATTGAACTATACTGTACATCTATTTGAATGTGAGACCGTAAACTGAAGATTGATCACATATGCATTTTATTAATACTAAATATGTACAAAATACACAGCTGCAACAGAATTAAAATCATTATTAGTGTCATCAACATAAATTGTGAAATCAAACTAAAATCCATGCTGTCTTTAATTAATAAGTCTGACTGAAATGCACACAAAGCTTTAGATTTCAAGTAAAAACTGGGAGAATACTTTTTCACTTAAATCACTCTAGCTGCAATAATTCTTCTCGCATCATGAAAACATTAAGGTCCATAAGGTCTCTTGGTGCTCAGCATCAACAGAACTGAAACAAATCAGCATAGACATGTAAGCACATATTCACACAGAAATACATTATCGTCATGTGGAGAGAATACTACCTTCCAGCGGTTTCCACACTCGTTACATAAGACAAATGTGGTCATAGGCTCATCAGCGCTGCGGGTCTGCACCTGAACACAGATATCTTATTTACACAGAAATACTGATTCTGAGATGCAGTTAGTTACCACGACAAATACTGCTTTTGTGCTGGGGTTGTAAAAACATCAAAACACAGATACCAATACGGAACACTAGTAAAACATATTTTTTTAAAGAAAATAACATAAAGAGTTAACATGCCTGTTGTAAATCATTATATCATAACACACAAGATTTTATATATTATGGCATTCTGTTATAGGTTAACTTATGAGTTTCATTATGGTTTCAGCTGCCTGAAACTCATACTTTTCATTGACTTTTGAGGACAATTCAAAATGTTTTCTTGTAAAGTTCTATAGTAATGGTCCTGATTTTTCATAATTCTGAAACCCACACATACTGTCCTCTATCAAAGAGCATAAACATTACCACAGAAACCAACACAAGTGCTCATAGCAGATACCTGGTTGTAGGTGCAGTTCTTCTTCTTGCATTTGCCACACTGCAGGAGGTCCGTCGTGGTGCCGCCCGTTTTGGCCATCTGGTGCTCTCGGATGGCCTCTTGGGTCAGGACATTCCTCAACTGTTTCAACTCATCACTGGCCATTTCCTTTAAAAACAAACAAAACTGGTGAGATTAAAAGCAATTACAAAAGAGTGTAGTTTAGTTTAATTTGCAAAGACATTAATCTCATAAAAGATGAGATTTGGCTACAGCTAGTTTCCATCTGCAAATATACACAATTTACAACTAAACCATGCACTCTCCCATTCTTTCATTTAAAAACATCACACAAAAACATTATTCAAATACTACGACTAAAATTACCATATGCTGTAAGCTAAATGCAAATACAAATCAGTGTTGACAGTGCGTACTCTCTAAAAGGGTTTTTCATTATAGGAGAAGTTTCATCCTGTCTGAGAGCTTGTTCCATTCTTTAATGAGAGGGCTGTGCAAAGCTGAGCTACCTCTGGAGAGTCTGCTGTCTGTATAAGAAATCTGCATATGAATGTTTGTTGCATCATGTACCTCTGCAGTCATGGTAGCAATCCGACTTAGCTCAATGTTTCCCGCTAGGACATTTTTGCGAAGTCCTGGGTTTTTAGGGTCCTTCAAATTGCTGATTCGACTCCGCACCCTGTTTTTATATTTCATATCAGTGGCCTTTATGTCCTGGTAAATATGTGCAAACCCAGTCAAGGAGGAGTACTGTTGAATATGCACCACCCATTGTTACCACACATACACCAGATGTTACTCGCAGTCATTAAAAGGATATGATCTTCAATCTCTACTGCCATGCTGTCACAGTTGACTCCAAATTCCTTGTAGTCATCTATAAATGACAAATAAACAAATGATTAATTATAGAAATAAAAAGTTAAATCTCTACTTTACAATCTTGGTAACAAATTCTATTGCTTTCTATTCAGGACCTCAGCCTCCTGTTATTAGCTGATACTTTGAGAACCTTTGCCCATTCAAAAGATATAGTATTTAGTTTTGAATTGTCGCTACAATACTCTTAAATACATGTATAGTTCAGTTGTGTCATTTTGAAAGAATAAAATAAAGATAAGTGGTGATCGTACTGTCTGTACGCAGGGCAGCTGCGATCATCTCGATGCACTTGTCTCTGACTGAGTCCCCCGTGGACAGGTGAGGGGACAGAGGACCACCAGATGTTCCAAAACCGGGAGACAGAGGGCTGGTGGGTGTCGTGGGGGTTTTAGGGACATCACCTTTGCTTTTTCTGCTGAACACATTCAAACACAATGCATTCAAAATTGGAATATTGATTATGAAAAAACATGGCTATATTTATGCTCTTGTGTGGTTATTTTTGCCATCCTATCACATTTGGACTGCAGTCTAATACAAACATATTTTAACATATTTCTACTAAATGGATTTATTATTGGATACTCATATTCACTTTTGTCAGTATCACCCGCCCCTTCATTCAAGTATGGTGACTTTTCAAACAATACTTCTAGTTAGGTATGTTTTAAACAAAATCAGTGCTTTATTTGAGAAAAAATATTTACCTGTCATTGCTGTCAGTGGAAGGCTTCCTGTGTGGGGGTCCAGGCTGAGTAGAGGTTTTAGATCCATGTGACTCTCTCCTAATAAAGAGGCATTCACATTTACAACATAAAAACCTACATACAAATTTAATAGCAAAAGTGGAATATAGAGAATAATTACCTTTCACTACTCAGTTTCTTTGCCGGAGGTGAGCTGCTCCTCTTTGAATCAGTCGACTCTCGCCTTATACACAAAACTCATTTAATTTATGTTCATGTAAAAGACATTTATAATTAATTCTTTCCTGTTGTACCTGTCAGACTTTGAATCACTGGATGTGCGTTTTTGGGGATGACCTGGTTTTGAATCACTGGACTCTCTTCTAAACAAACACATGTACCAAACATGTTGTGTTAAGGTTTATGTGTGTTGTCTTAAGGTTTAAATGGACTTTTCATGACAATCTCTTTTGCATCTTTTTCGTATTTTGGCACACCTTCGTATCTCTTTCTTTACATCCTCACAGGGCTTTTTGAGAGAATCATTTGAATCAACCCTGACAAAACAAAAAATGTGACCAGCTTTGAAACAACCAAGACCACCTCACCACCGTAACAATATTTGATGTGATCTATGTGCTACATTTCACTTGCATGCTTCACAACCTACACACTCCACAAATGCCAACCTTTCTCTCTTGGCCTCCCCTGAGTGCTTTTTAGACACTTTGTTGTCAGTGGACTCTTTCCTGCACAGAGAAACAGTTGCTTGCCGCATTGTTCACAGTGCAATGTGATTAACCAGAGGATTATGGTTTATGAATGAAGAAATGAAAGTGTTAAGGTCACATGCAATGCTTCAACTGTTAAAGCTTGAAGGTGCACTATGTAACTTTCGTCTTTGCTTGTCTCCATGGAGATGATATTGCTCTGCTTGTAATATTCCACAGTGTAAAACATATATATTGCCTCTCCAGATTTCACCTGCAGCTTGGCCTAATGTGTCACCTACTTATCTCCACGGACTTATGTTGGATGCTATATTGTGGAAAATTCACAGCAAAGCATAACATCTTCTGGGAAACAAGCTCAATAAAGTTACATAATGCACATTTAAACTGTATAAAATGTCTTATCTGGACCTTTCTTTTTTAACATCGACAGATTTCTTCTGTGGTGATCCCTTAGCCTCTGAAGACTCCTTTCTGCCACGGACAATAACACAAAAATTTCACTTTTCTGAATTCATCCGAACATTTTAGCACTGACAAAAATCAGTATGTCCGACCTCTCCTTTTTTCCATCCACAGAGGGGCGCTTTGGGGGAGGAGGGGGGTGCAGGTGGAGAGGCAGAGGGGGAAGAGGAGCGTTTGAATCAGGAGGCTCTTTTCTGAAAGAGATGAGCTGTTTGTGTTTATCATCTTAGTTTTTGACACACTTTCACAGCACAGAGGCATGCAAGCTCCACTGACCTTGCAGGGGGTGGGTGGAGGTGGAGTGGAAGGGGGGCTATAGGAGCATTGGGGTCTGGAGGGAACTTCCTATTGTGAAACACGTTAAAGTTACATACTGTTTTGAAGCAACAATACTGAAGCCTATAAACAAGTTGACCTCTTAACTTCCAGTGAAGGCCGTTTGAGCACAGGGGACTTGGGTTTGGACACTTCTGAATGTGTATGTTTACTGTCTTTGCTGTCTTTGTTGTCTTTCCTGCACAAAGATAATATGGTTTTAATTCATTTTCCAGTTACCATGCAAGTTAAAGGTTTCTGGCCACAACTTCAAAATCACAACATGTACCAATCTTCAAAAGTTAGGAAGGAAAATACAGCCATTACATCATACCTCAGGAGACTGCCAGTTAATGCTAGAAATCCAATTCTTTTAGCCTTTCTTAAAGTTTAAAAAAGCTTTAAAATATCTTCAGGCTTATGATGTGTCAAACATGCACCCATCAGTAAGATGTTGTTATTAAGTGTAAATCAATTTTCCAAAGACAATACCATACGCATGCAGGCTCCACTGACCTTGCAGGAGGTGGGTGGAGGTGGAGTGGAAGGGGGGCTATAGGAGCATTTGGGTCTGGAGGAAACTTCCTATTATGACACATGTTAAAGTTACTATGTTAAAGAGACACTGTTGAAGCCCATATTGGAGCTGACCTTTTAATTTCCAGTGAAGGCCGTTTGAGCACAGGGGACGTGGGTTTGGACACTTCTGAGTGTGAATGTTTATGTGACTCTTTACTGTCTTTCCTGCATGAACATAATATAGATCATTTATTTTCCAAATACCATTTAATTTAAAACATCCGGGATGCAAGCTAAAACACAGCATGTACCAATGTTCAAATGTGGGGTTAAGAAATGAAATAAAGTCAACAATGTATCATGCCATGGGAGACTGCAAACTGATGCTGTGCTAGAAAGATCAACATTAAAGTACTCCTTAAACTGATGACACATACCATTTTATTTTCTTAAAGTAAAAAAAAAGAAAAATACCTTCAGGCTTAGGATGTGTCAAACATGCACCAACCAGCAAAATCATGCACCCAGTAGTAAAGTTAAACCTTGCAGAGACCTTAAGATAATAGCAGACATGTGAGTTTTTAATGAAATTCAATAGTAACAAAAGGTTTCACACCCACACTGGCTACAGTATGTTTACATGAACACCAAAAATCTGATCATTATGGGATTTTTTGAAATGTCATGTGCATAACTACATCTGGTGTGAGTAATAACATTTAACGCAAGAGAATTATGCAGAAAACGCAAAGTAATGTGGCAAAGGCAAAAATGAAAGCAAAATTAGGACTCTAAAAATCCATGTTTTTGACGATCAGATTTTTATTCATCAGTACTGATTTCTGGCCATGTGAATGAGTGATTAAAATCATCATTATTGCAAAGTAGCACTCCCATGTTAAAAGGTCATCCATGCAGCCTATGTTGCCTATGCTGCTGACCTGTCTTTCTTGGCCTCCTGAGAGGGGCGTTTGATTTGTTTTGTAGGAAGTGGAGGTCTTACGGGTCGAGGAGGGGACGGGTAGCGAGAGGGATACAAAATGCTGCTGTCCAGAACACTTTTTCTGCAATAAATAGAACAAACACATCCTAACATGCTCTTTAGTTGATTTTGTTCTTACAGGGCTAGCACACTCGTCTAACCTTTCAAAAAGTGGTTTGTGGACATCAGCTGGTCTCTCCCTGTGATGGCTGTAATCATCTCGACTCTTTCTCATATCATCTAAAGAACTGTGCGTCTTTGACACTTCAGGATGTCTGCTTCGTTTCTCTTCCTCTTTTTTCATAACTCTGTGTTCTTCTAAACACCTCTCCCTCTTTTCATCTGGTCGCACTTTTTCACCTTGGGACTCCAGTGAATGTTTTGGTCTTTTGTGGTCTGTCTCCTGCTGACGATGTTCTCTTTGTATTTTCACTTCTTCGTGTGTCTTCTCTTGTTTAGTTGGAGCTGGGTGAAACTCGTTCAAAGGCAAAGCTATGGGTATTTCAATTGAGTGATTTTTTTTTGGTTTGTATTCGTCAACTTTTTCCTTCCTGGTTGAATCAGAGGGTTTTCGGTCTGTGTCTGAATCTTGATTTAAATCCAGCTTCCTGGGATTAACACATGATACTTACATTTATATCAGAAATCATAACAAATAAACAAAAATAAGTTTCCATAGGCTATTTGTGACTTTGTAGTTGAGGGAATCTGGATGTTTCATTTGAAATTTGACCCTAAACAAAAAGTGAGAGTCAAAATATACATGCTAATTACATAATGATAACTGCACTGGCAGCCACCCTTTTGTAAATCTACCCAGGGCAGCTACGGCTGCATTCATTACATATCATCAACAAAGTGGAGTAAATGAACAATGCACAATATTGTCAGGAAAATCACTATATTCATTATTGTTAATGCATCATTAATCCAGACCTGAATATGAAGACCAGAGATATTTTGGAAGTTGTTACTTGCAGCAGTCACAATATTTCAAAGAGGCTTATTAATTGTGTAAAAATAGTTGGTGTAAATTTAGTATTAGTATTTTGGTAATACCAGCGTTTACATCTACATCCTTTACTAAAACTACAGACCAAAATAACTAATGTTTTATATATACAGCAGTTATTTGCTCTTTATTGCAAATTGGCTGATGTGGCTCCTGAAGCTCTATGACTTTTTATAGCTCTACATTCGACAGTATTTACCTGCTGTGGCTGTGACTGGGAGAGCTGAGCAGCGGAGATTCTGCCTTCTCTGACTCCACGCCGTTCTTGTGCTCAGACGATTTCTCATTGTTCCCGGATTCTGTGATTCAAATCAACAATCTGTTCATTTGTAACAATTACAACATAATCAAAAGGTGCACAAATAGCAACATACCCAGAAGTCTTTTCCAGTCTTTGATAAGGAATTTAGCAAGAGTGATGACTTCCTCATCTGTGCAGTGTTTCCTGATGCCATTCACAGACATGCCAATCCTGGTCTCCTACGTGCAAATGCATGCGTATCAGACATTGATTGTGCTTTTTGTTTAACAGTCTTATGTTATTGGCACTGTGTTTGGAACTGTTTAGTTTGCTCATTACCTGGAGAAGTTTAAGAGTCATGTTGAAACTTTTGAGTTCCTTCAACAAGTCCAGAGCTCCGTCCTAAACACAATTATAACGAGCATTTAAAAGGGTAATAACACAATATACACTTCAGACCAGGCACTTATTATGTAAGTGTGCAGCAAGGGTTCATGTGTAATAAGATCTTACACATGGACACTTTATATAACAGGACTGTTCAGATAAAACATTGTTTTCTTCTTTTTATTCAAAGTCACAGTACTGGCATGTAACTAAAATAATAAACAACAAAGACTGAATGAACTTCCTTGTCTCTTTAAACGCTGCAAGTAGTACAGTCTCTAGTCTACAACATTCTAGCGCCATGAAAACGTCCACTTTGCACTTTCGCTCTAAACACAAACACGGCGTAGCCCTCGCGCCTGTTTCTCTGCGTGGGAGTGCTTGCTGTTTGGGGAAAATGCAAGGCAAACAAAACAAAACGAAGTCAAGTTTTGACTCGTCCAACAAATCTCTGCAAAGTTGCTACGGTTCTAATTCTTTATGGAAAAGTAGAGCGCAGCACGAGCACGTACTAGTGTGCCAGTTCTAGTACACCACTGCGAACACCTGTTGCACATTTGTTACAGCTCTCCATTACACACTAAAGGACCGACCACGCGCTGCACGGCGTTATCAGCTAAAAGCCTCTTGAACAAGTTTACTTTCTATGTAGCCATATGTAGAGAAAATATAGGCTATGTGGGCCTCGAACGCGACACGCGGTGGCAGGACTGCGCGCCACCTGCGGGTGTCAACATAGCGTACAGTCTCACCGTGTTATTTCTAGACACCATCTTGTCCAGCTTTTTTGCAATCCGGATGATATCTTCCTCTCGCGTCATGGCTGCATTTACTCGACTTTAATGGTGATCTGAGAGATTATTTATGCAGTAAAATAGAAAACGACATAAAAGTTGGCACCAACGGCAATTTGGACTTTACGCACACGACGCACTCCATTCGGAAGAGGCGTGTCTTCACTGTGCAGCCCCAGCTGACCACCCCGACACATGACAACAACTAAATATAGTGCGGTAGTAGACAAATAATCGTGCAGCATTGAGATAAAAGTCAAACCTGCGGAGCAACAATGTTTATGTGTTATTTGTTTCACCAAATATTCAGGGGGAGTGCCACAAATCACAACTCTGCTTTATGTTTACAACTGTGCAATATGAAAGTTGGCTGGATGGTAGTTCCTGCTTTATCAAGGACACTGTCTAATAATTAATCTCGTCAGCTTCACTTCTCACTCACATATGCAAGAGCACCAGACCAGACTGCATCTCGAATTAAAATATCAGGCAAGATCTGTGTTAGCGAGTTAGAATATTCAGTAAAAACTCTTCTCCAGTTGGTTCTTGTTTTCTATTATAAGTGTAGAATTGGTTATGTCTTGAGTAAACCAATAGAGGGAGCTATGCTATCAGTCGAGACACTGCGCAGCTTTGTACAGTGCACACTGAATGAATACTATTATTGTTTGTTATTTTGTGATAAATGTTGTAAGTTTAAAATGAAAAGGTCAGTACTCAGTAGGCTACAGTACAGCTAGGATGTCCAAACTGGTCTGGAGCCAAATCTGGCCTGTTGACCATTTTTATTGGCCCTCCAACTTCCGTTTCAAAGGGACAAATAATATGTAATTATCTAAAATTATAGCAACTGATAAATCTTAACTTCACAGTTATTATTTTTGACAGCTGTGCGAGGTGGAAAATTAAATGCATTGATTAAATTCAGTTATAATATGTTACTGACACCCCATAATTTATATGGAGAAAAAACACACAGATTTCAGTATGCTGCTCTGAAAGAAAGTGGCGGTCGTACCATTTCTCTGCTTACACCCAAGGTTTCTTTGATTGTACATACACATCCCACTAGTGCAGTGCTTCTCAATTATTTTCTGTCATGCCCCCCCTAGGACGAATAAAACATCTCGCGCCCCCCGCGTGACTATAGATAGTATCATTTGTCTATAAAATTGTTATAAGTACACCTCTGCGTAACACTGCCACCTTATATGACGCCAACAACGCTCGCTGGTTTACTGAAGTAGCAGTCACAAGCGGGATGATTGTCGGCAATATTCGGCACGTTTTCGCTGAAAAAACTCAAGCGGCTTATCAGAGTGATCGGGTGTAATGTATTTAAGTGACGCCTTAATTTATTGGGCTTCATGCTGTCCGCTGCCAACATTTTTAGACACAGTAAGCACACCGGTCTTTCCTCGTCTCCCACCGTAGTCACAGTGAAGCCAAGCGCTACATACGCTTCGTCATATTTCCTCGTCTTAGCTTTCGGGAGATTTTCATTTGTCTCTTTATCTCCGTGTCTCTCCGTTGTCTTCTCATCCCTGTTAAATATTTTTTCATGGTGTCACTTGAGGGTCTGCTACACTTCGTGTCTACACTTCATACTCAAACTCTGTGCTGTGTGCAAAGCGCGCATGCTCAGTGCAAACAAAACTCCTACACCACCGAGCGAATGCTCCCTGCGCACACTCTGCCAATGAGAGTGCTCTGCCCCCTAATGTAGTGGAAGTGCAATTGCACTTTATTCTAAAGGCCCGTTCAGACCAAAGCGTCAAAGCGTCCACTTTCTATGTAAAGTCTATGTGGACGCGCGACTAGAGCGTCCTGCGTTTTTGCGGGGCGTTTTCGGCGTCAGCGCGGCGCGAATCTGGCGTCAGCGCGGCGCGTCTTCAGCGTTTTGGCGTCAGCGGCCAAGACGCGCGTCCAAGGCGTCAGCGTCAAGAAGTTGAAAATGCTGAACTTTTCGCGTCCGACGCGCCGCGTCAAACAATCAGGGACGAGTATCCAGAGACGCAGCGACGTTATTATCAGGAAGAAAGCCCGAGAACCAGAACGAGAACCACAAACATGAGCGGAGAATAAATATATACGCCACAATCACCGAGCCGATCGCGAGGGGTACACCAGGACCGGACCAGGACCAAACCAGGACTAGACCGGGACTAAACAAGGACTAGACCGAGACTAGACCGAGACTAAACAAGGACTAGACCGGGACTAGACCGTGATTAGACCAGGACTAGACCGGGACCAGACCGGGACTAGACCGTGATTAGACCAGGACTAGACCGGGACTAGACCGTGATTAGACCAGGACCACACCGGTATTAGACCAGGACTAGACCGGGACTGATCCAGTGTCATTAGCGGAGTATAAATATATATAGCCCCAGTCGTCGACCCGATCTCCTCCGTTGATGTTTTATGTCATAAAAACACTCTCTCAGTCTGGTCTGACATTGTTTCGGGAAAAGACCGGGACCGGGCTCTTGTTTCCAGGGCAACGGACGCGCGTCAAGTATTTTTGTCCCGTTCGTCCACGGCGTCAAAGACGCGCGTCGGGGGCGTCTAAACTCAAATGCAAAGGCTCCAAATAGAGGCGTCAAGGCGTTTTTTGACGCTTTGGTGTGAACGGCCCTTAAGACGCGCGCCCCACTATTTGAGAAGCACTGCACTAGTGTAAGATGATCTCAATGACATTATATTAAATATTGTAAAGAGAAATTTATATAAAGGCCCTTGCTGTTGTTCACTCTGTAACTTTTCTGCTTGTCTCTGTGGAGATGTAATTGCTCTGCAGGACTCTTCCACAGTATGCCATTAAACTTCTTAATCTTGCAATTACAGGTGTTTTTATTGCTAAATATTTTTATTCCCATATTGTGGAACATTCCATGCAAAGAAATGACATCTCTATGGAGACAAGCATAAAGGTTACGAATGTGGCAAGACCGGCTTTGAGGGTCTAGGCTGCAGGTGCTCTTACCTGGCGTTCCGTGGCGCTGCGCTGGTGGGCTATTTAAGCGCTCCCTTCTCAGTCGTTCCCCCTTTTGGCTCACACGCTCTTCCGGGCCTCTCCTTGTGGCCGCTCTTGTCCTCCAGCTCAAGTAACTTTCACTTTGTAAATTCCATGCCCGTTACATCAAATTTCCTATCACGTTTCTGTTGTGTCGCTGCTTGGCCGCTGCTTGGCCGCTGCTTGGCTGCTCCGCTGCTCTGTCCCTCGCGTCTCTGAATCACGGAGCACCTAGGGCACGCTTTCGTCTCCCCTGATAAGGTAATGCACGCCCGGTACTCCTCCACTCATTCATCCGTGCCCATACTTTTACCGGTGTCTCTCTGTTAGCTCCACGGGTGAGCCGAGCGAGTCCCTCCCCATTGCGCTTGGCGGTGCGCCGCCGTGTCTCTTAAACCGCGGCGGCAGGTAACCCAAAACCCTATCGTCACGTGCCACCTGTGCCAAACCACTCTAAATTGTATGTTTGTAGCGTGTGCCGGTCCACGTTGTTTGGACCACGTCTGGACTGCGTTATTCTGTGTAGTCGCCTTCGATTCAGCCTGGGGATTACGCACTGTCACCTTCAACCACGGTATGTTTAGCCCAGATCCTTGCACTGCAGGCTCCGATTTTAATTCCAAAATTTAATTTTCTAGGTGTCAGCGGGGGCCTGCAGCGGCGTGAGGACACCACCTCTGCTGTTTTGTTTGTTCTGTTTTGTTTGTTCTGTTTTGTTTGTTTGTTTTGTTTGCTGTGTTTTGTTTGCTGTGTTTAGTTTGCTGTGTTTAGTTTGCTGTGTTTAGTTTGCTCTGTTTAGTTTGCTCTGTTTAGTTTGCTCTTTTAGTTTGCTCTGTTTAGTTTGCTCTGTTTAGTTTGCTCTGTTTAGTTTGCTCTGTTTAGTTTGCTCTGTTTAGTTTGCTCTGTTTAGTTTGCTCTGTTTAGTTTGTTGTTGTTTGTTGTTTGTTGTTGTGTGTCTGTTTTGCTGTGTTCTGTTTTGTGTTGTTTTTCTGCTTCACATTTGCTTTGTTTTGTTTTATCTTTGTTTTACGTCTGTTTTGCTGTTTTGTTTTGCTTTGGGTTTTGGGGTTTCGTTTTGCATTTTCAATATTGTGTACTCGTTCTCCCACGGTAGTGTTTTACTGTTTGCTGATTTTTATGGACGTAGCTACTTTTAAACCACTTAAATCTGTCTTTTAAAATAGAAAAGAATAAAGATTTGTGTAAATGATGGAACCTGGCTCTCTCTCCCTTAATGATATGCTTACCTGTGTGCCTTACGTTTAGATTTCATTTCCCCAAACTAGATTTGGGGTGGCGTTGTTGCAGCAACTCATCATAAAACTTAACATTTCCCGGAGTGTTGAACCCCTCGGTTGCCACATTCTTGGCGTTGTTGGCAGGATATATCAAAGCAGAGGCCCAGGTTCCATTTAAATCATGATTATTGTGGCTATGGAAGACCAGTAGTGCTATAAGAAAAAAAAAAAAAAAGTTTTGCTACTTGCTATCTGTATTGGGTGTCATCCAGCTCCATGCTTATTGTCTTGCATGTTTATTTGTTCTTTTTTTTTTGTTGTTGCATGTTTTAGTTTGCTGTGATTTCTTTTGAATTGTTGATATATTTTGATTTGCTGTGTATATTCGTAACTGTATTAGCAGTAAGGTGCTGGAGTAACTGGTTTGTCCATCCTTTATTGTGGTGGCAGTTCAAAACATTAACTTGATTAACTACTGCTTCAAGATCGTTGTACTCTTGAATTGCACTGTTTCGTCGAATGTCAATTGTAATTCCTTTTTGATTAATACATTCCTTTTTTTCAGAAGCAAAACAGCAGTGGGTGGTGTGTGGGACCTTCCTTTTTTTTTTGTTAGATTTTGGCTGAACTTGCGCGTCCCAATGGAGGAAGAGCTAGAGAACCTCAGGAACCAAATAGCTCAGCTGACTGCCGATAACGACAGGCTGCGTTCAGCGCAGGCAACCTCCAGTTCTGGTGCAGGTCCTTCTACTGCATCCACAGCTCAATCTACCCCTCCGCCTGATAGGTTAGTATTTATACCTCGTGATAGGAGATGTCCAATGTTTAGGGGGCACACTGGCATCGGCTTGGGTGAATGGGTGGAGGAGGTTCGGGCTTGCATGAGACCGCGAC